AAATAACAACAACAGCAATGATGGCAATGCCAACAGCAACAACTCAATACAATACCCATGCAACGATGGTCATGTAGTTGTTACACACACATATACCACCATACGTACATACCACCAAATCCAACAAACAGTGGGCAACAAAAACATGATGTTGTTGTGTGTGCGGGTAAGGTGTTGTTAGGGGGTCGTTCGGTTGGTCGCAACGTTGCACAGTTGTTCTTTATATACCTACCTACCTAACATCAGAGAAAGATGTAGCCGAATGTATGAAGGTGTGTTGGTATGTACATTGTATTGTACATGCATATTGACATTGTTCTTTTGTCGCTTCTCGATAGAGGGGGATATTATTGGGGCTAGTAACAGAAAGAACATGAAAATTGTACAAAAAGGAAAAACTAAACAATCTTTGCTTTACACTGAGAAAATTACAATAGGCAGTAACTTTCTATAGGTACCTATTTCATCTCAAAGGTATTTTTTTCTAGAAGGACCTTGCGAGGCCACGATCTACCCATAGAATTTTCCTAAGAGATCCTCTTGCCAAGAATACGTTTTCTGTTTTCAGCTACTTTATAAAGAGTTTATGTGCGTAGAAGACCTCATAGAATTTGACAATAGAATCCCATTTGGAAAGTCTTACACCAATAGAAGATCGTGAGGAGAGCTTTTTAGCAGCAGATGACCGTAAGGAAGTTTCATGTTCGAAACTGGCTTATCCCTGAGGGAAGAATCTTTTGAAGTCTTCTATAGAAAATCTCATAGCAAACCAAAAAAAATTGAAATGTTTTCGTTGGAAAGTTTTCTGTTGATAGAATAAAAGTTGTACACATAGATGAACTCTAAAAGGTCTGCTGTATAGAGTAACCTTAAAAGCTGAAGAAATTTAATGACTTTTTGAGCTTCTTTTTTTAATAGAAGAGCTTTAAAGGACGTCGTTATATAGAACAACTGTAAGCATATAAGACCTTTAAAATGCTTAGCTGTAAAGGGTCTTCTATAGATTGAAGAATTGTAAATGGTTTCTTTTGATAGACGAGCTTTAAAAGTATTCTTTATGCAGAATAGATTCATATGGTCTATCGCCCTTATAAGAGCTTTAAAAGGTCTTCTGCACGAAGAAGAGCTCTAAATGTATCTCATACATACCTATGAGATCTTTAAAATACCGTTTTAACGTAGAAGAGTCTTTTTTTGGGTAGAAGAGCTTTTAAATGTTTCCAAGCATAACAGAGCTTTAAAATCTCTTGTATGCATAAGAGAACTATAAAATATATATTTTGGAATGCACGAATATCAAAAGATCGGCAATGGCAGAATATTTGCAAAAGGTATTCCCTATGGAATGAAGGGCTTAAAAAGATCTTTCATTAACACAGCTTTAAAAGCACTTCCATACACAGAGGACTTGAAAAATTTCCTATCCGTAAAATGATTTAAACGTCTTCTATCTGTTCTAAGACAGCTTTAAAACACTTCTATACACTAAGACCTTTAAAAATGTCCTATCCGCAAACGAGCTTTAAAATGTGTTCTATCTTTAGAACTTTCTAAGGTCTTCTATTAAGATAAGACATACATTAAATGGTCTTATCTTAATAGAAGGCCTTAGGCCCATTGACAAGCTTGAACGACTTTTCAATCCCAGTCAAGAAGAGCATTCCAAACCTCTTTTGTCCACCTTAAAGCATTACAATAAATTATATTTTCAAAAACGATTAAAAAATGTTTCTACCCACAGAAGAGTTTAACAGGTCTTTTAACCCTAAAGGTGTTTCATGATGCTCTGGCAATAGAAGATCTTTATATTGTCTTCTACTCATAGAAAATACCTTCTTTTACAACAAACGATCTTAAAATATATCTTAAAAAAAGAGCTCTAAAAGGTCTCAACTTCATAGAAGATCTTTGAGAGATTTGCATAACCTAGAAGAACTCTATGTCACCTTCCTTGGAGGACCTAAATGAGTCCAATAGGTCAGGTTGCCATTGGAGATCTTTCGAAGGATGTCTTTATAATAACTTTCAAACGATATATGTCCTCAATTTCTATGGGACTTATGGAAGAAATTTATCTCTGCAAGACCTTGAAAGGCCAAAAGCCCAGGCAGTTCCTTCCAAGGCCTGGGCCTTATACACCATCCCATATGGTATATTTTCTAATCTTTTGAATGCATTTGCATATGTAAAGGTTAATTTTTAGCTACTTGGGCCTGCCAAAATGGCTTCAATATGAATTCCTAGGTAAGTTGTTGTTACATTCTACCCATAAAAGACCTTTGGTAAGTTATTTAAAAGGACTTTCATACCAACCTCGTAACAAGTTCAGGGATGCATGCATGTGCTGTTTAGTGCATGTATTTCTGTGGGTGGGTGGCGTTTTCGCTTGGCTTGAAATACGAAAATACAACATAAGAAACAATGAGTACATAACAGCAGCAACACAACCAACAATTTTTTCACTCTTTTTTTGAGAGAGACTGTGAGGGACATAGAGAAAAAGATAAGAGAACAACATCTGCAGTTAATAACACCATAAATAATGGCAACAACGTTTGAAGAACATTTGTTTGTATTGGTGGTGGCAAGCGGAACTAGATAAAACCGAGCTATAGCTGCTCTTCGTAGTAGTTGGGGAAAACGAATGGAAACAGGCAGAATGAGACGACTAGGCAGTAATAACACTTCGAACAACATAATATCCATAGAAACATCTGTGTGTAGTAGGTATGCATTCTTCGTTGATTACCAAGCAAGCAACACGACTAGCAGAACTACAAAATATCGAAAACGACAACGGCGGCAGCGACAGCGGTAACAACAACGATCATCACACACACAGATAACAACTACTATTGTAAACTACAAATCAAACGACTTCTGTCTGACTTGACGGCGCAGTTTCTATGCCACAGCCAACGTCTCTGCCCCCATTTTGGGGTTTAGTTGTATTGGTTAGTTGGGTTGGATGACTGGCTGACTGGCTGGCTGTTGCGCGCTCTTCTAAGCTTGACTTCAACTTCTCAGCGTTATACGAACAGCAACGACAACAACTACCACAACAAAAACGGTTTAATAGATTGATATATGGGGGAAAAGTGGCACAAATTAAATTTTAGTTTTGCTTCGTTCGTGTTGTTGCTGTTTGTTTTGTGTGGTGTTCTCTCTTCAGTTTTTGTCGTATTTTTGTATTTTGCGTTTTTTTCGTACATTTTTTTCTTTTTGGTGTTTGAAAATAGTTTTTAAATCTGCGGCGGAAGATAAACAAGTGAATTTCGGGTCGGTGTGGTGTGTGCGCTTAATATTTGTCGTTTCTTTTTTCATTTTACGAAATATCTAGTAAAATAAAAACTGACACAGCCACTTCATTGTAGGAACAAGAAATAAAAAAAACACAAAACTAATATCAATTCGGTGCTGATATTTTTTGTTTGTTTCGGGGTCTTTTTTTGTTTTAATTTGGAAGTTTTCATTGCCGTTATCATTGAGTGATTACTTACATCCGTATTTGGTGTAGTGGTCGTTGTTTAAAGTGATAAATTAAGAGACCTTCAGATATTGTGCGCGCCATAATGTAATAATCTGCTTATTGGAAGTAACTATTTACCAAAGAAATTAAATAAAATTTGAATCTATCAAAAGAAGTGAGGGAACACCATCTTTTGCAAACGATCATATAGGTAAAACTCTCCACTCTATTTTAAACAAACTCTCTCACACTATCCCTCCCCCATTTTCCGTTGAGAGTTCATTTTTAATAAGAGCATCCATTTAGTTTGTAACTAATTGTTGGTGGTGTTGTTGTTAACATACATATGTTATCATCATCATCGTCATTGTTGTTTTTTCTTCTTCTTCTTCTTTTTCGTGGTGTTGTATATTTGTGTCATTGGGAGTAATTAAAAACTTCGCATTGGTATTTGCTTGCGCTCTTCTTTAAGTAGGGCTCTGAGATAATTAAAATTGACGTGTGTTTTTTAGTGTTGTCAATGTTATTGTTAGCGGAAAAAGCGCTATGTAATCGCAATATGTGAATTCAACTATGTGGATGTGAGACTCGTATTTAACTTGAAGTGAAAATTATTTAAATTTAATATTTTTTTCAATTAATTATTATTAAAACTATCTGTGACATGTGGCTCATCAGAGCAAATTTTATAACTGTCCATTATCTTAATATAAATGTTAAAAATAGTGAAATGAAGTCAATATGAAAAGGAATATCGCTCTAAAAAAGAGACAACGACTTTAAAACAAGGGTAAAAACCAGGGTTTTGCTTGACTTACTCATAAAGACCAAAAACTTCTTAATTCCTTAGAATGTTTAAATCGCTGCAAAGTAGAGCTGATCATTTCCAACTATAAATTGGCCGAAACTTGAAAGAAAAAACATTAAATCTGGACAGAAAAGTAGAAAAGTATCAAATAGTAGTCCAGAAACGAAAAAAAAAACATTATTGTGTTTTCTTCCCTCTGAGAAAATTTTGTGTTTTTGGTTTTTGGGGTGGCAAAATATGTGTTTGCATGGGAGTCTGCATTCTTAAAGGCCCAAATCAGAGCAAATTACAAGATACCGCAGAGCAAGATACAATTTTTACCGCAGAGCAAGATACAATTTTTTTAAGTTTTATTTATGTATAAACTGAAAGTATTACTTTTAAATGGCTATTTTTATTATCTGAAAATATTAAATTGTGACACCTTTTAAAGTCTTACCATAAAGCGCATAGGAATTTTTGTCTTAGAAATATAAATTGAAGTTACATCTTATTTAAAGCTATGATAATTCTAATTCCCCAAATCTTTGTTTATTAAGGCAATTGTAATTCAAAAATTTCCTTATTTGGCGTTTTTCATACTCTCCATTAATTACGTTTTTTTTGTTCTAACACAACTCGCACATTGGCAACACTGTTGTTTTCTTTCTATTGCAACTTTCTCTATTTTTGTTGAATACCCATTAAACAAAGTCTAAACACTCTCTCCCTCTCTTTTTCCAGGTGGATCAAACACTTAATTCATTGAATGGCTTTGATCCTGTATCCCGTTGTGATGCTCTTCATTATCTGCTGCAAAATCTAAAATTTAAATATTCCGAAACCTGCGAAAAAGTTGTGCCCAGCGTCTTTGCATATCTTTTAGATCGTGACTATGCGAGCACTACCAAAGGAGTATCGAAGAAACAATTACAACTGTTGCTAGCCACCAAAAAGGAGGATATCAAGAACGAGGATGAGAATGCCTCGTCGACAGATTTAAATCAGAATTTTGAAAAAATCCTATGTAAAGAGGAATTTATGTGCCTGGATGAAGACGACGGTGATTATGCCGATGATGCGGATAACGAAAATTCAAATTTCCACAATAAAAGAATACGGCGTTATCCCCAAGGAGCAGCAGCAGCCGCATTAGCATCTGGCGGAGTTGTTAATTCTCTGAAAGCGAATAGTAGAGATCCTTTGGATTTGATACCCTCTTCCGTAATACACGCCCGACGTCTTGGTCGCATAGCCACAACAGCGGATGGTGATGAAAGTAATAGTTTAGATGCCCTTGCCCCTACAGATAGCCTCAAGAGAACACGAAGACGAGCAGGCTTTGCCTACGGTGGTAAAAGCAGTCTTGGTAAATTGCATCAGTCGCGTTTGTTGTTTGAAAAACTACAACGTGTCTCCCATTTGGGTGAAGGTTATGTCTTCCATCCGGACAATGAGTTTACAATTCATTTCCATTGGAGATCGGAAGAACTGAGTATACGTGTGTTCCAAGAACAATTTCGTTTACATCTAAAGATAGCCCTGAAAGAACGTAACAAAGAATTCCTGCGACAGTTTCAACAAGACTTCGTATTCACGGGACGTCTATTGGGCACGACACCACCAAAACATGTACTGGAGTCGTTGCGCCTAGAGCACGAAGAGGAGTGGCGTCAACAGAAAATACGAAAACAACAACAGCAACAACAACAAATGTTGCTTATGCAACAGAGGAGACGTATTCTAGCAGCGTCCAGCAGTGCGGTGGGCAATGCATACGATTCTGAAATGGATTTCGAGCTAGAATCAGAATCTCAGTTATCCTCAGCTTCCCAAGAAATAATGAAATTCGAAGAGATCATTGATGAGGGCATGGGACCGGGACGGCTGATTGATGGTTTGGTTATGGAACCCGAAATCGAAGATGTTATTGAACGTAGCGGCAGTGGAGCCAGTGTTAGTGTAAGCGGTGGCAGTAGTAATAGCGGTAATGGTATGGATACCCTGCCCAATGATATGGTAACAACAGATAGTGCTTCCACCTTGACATCACCGTTTATTGGTGGTAGTGGGGTTGGAAGTATTGGCGGGGGTGTGGGTAATGATATCGGTGCAACAAATTTCAAAAATCACCTATCCCAGCAGCAGCAACAACAACCAAATTCCAACACCGGAAATCTTCTTATGAATGGTCTTACACCTACGGCGGGTAATATCCCACAAAATAACCTTATCCCCAATAATTTAAATCAACAACAGTCACATGGCATGGCCATGGGACCGGGTAATCATAATATGATGCCCAAGGATCAACAGCAACAAATCTATCATCATCAACAGCAGCAGCAGCAGCATGTGATGCATAATCAACAATTGTCGGAAGATGGTATGAAAGTGGGTGCTCCAAATATGGCACAAATGCCAGGGGGAAAGCCACCACAACAACCACACCAACTGCAACAACAGCAGCAACACAATATTGCCAATCTTATGAATAACAATTTGGGTCAACAGCAGCAACAACAACAGCATTTCCAAGGAGGTCATCAACAGCAAACCCCGCAACAGCGTTATCTAATGCAACAGCAGCAGCAACAACAACAGCAAATGCATCAACAAGCTGGGCCTTACAATTCACAGCAGCATATGCCGGCCCAAAATCATCCATTGGCAATGATGGGTGGTATGATGGAGTCCGCCAATCAACAACACCAACAAATGCAACAACAACGCATGCAAATTAATGCCACCAATAATGCCATCAATAGCATAGATAATATATTGGGTGTTGGCGGTGCCGGAGGTGGTGGTGGTGGTTCGGCAGGTGTTGGTGTTGGTCCCAAACCACCAACCACTCCAGACAATTTGCAATATATGCAACAGCAGCAGCAACAAACGCAACAGATGCCTCCTCATATGCAAACTATGCCAACACACATGATGATGCAACAACAACAGCAACCCGATCATACTTCATTTTTGACAGGCTCCGGTTCCATGGCCTCAACTAATTCACAGAGTGGTGGTATATTAGCCAATCCTCATACCCCCACGGGTAATAATTCATCGGCCAATGCATCATTTGATCATGATGATCCAGATATGTCACACGATGAAGATGATGAGGATCATGAAAATGATACAAATGATGGCATGGAACCGAAGCAGCAGCTCATTGATGGTGGCAGCAGTAGTAGTACCTCATTGCAGGCAACGCCCGGCGGTGCAAATGCTTCCGGTGGCGGCTCGAAAAAGGAGAAGCCCATCTACAATTGTTTGTTGTGTCCCAAGTCATATCGCAAACGAAAATCTCTACTGGATCACTATAAAATACATCCAGGATATTGTCATGATTGTGGCAAAGCCAATGGTACTTCTTTGGAGGTGAGGACAAATGAAATTCTTGTAAATTTCCACTAATTAAATTTATTTTTGTCCATTGCAGGAAATTATCCATCATAATCGCACGGTACATGCCAAGGACTTTCCATTTGTCTGTGAGACTTGTGGTGAATCTTATTCAAGGCGTCAACAATTCCATGCCCATGTTGAATCTCACAATAAGAAGGAATTCAAAAGTGAGTTTGTGTCAAGAATCATAACAATCGATGACTAACATAGTATTGAGAGTAAATTTCATTGCATTTAACCAAACTAAAGCTTGCTTCTTCCAACCCAATGTCGTATTCGTAAATAAAAGTAGTAACTTGTTTTTTGATTCCATAAGTTGTCATTAGAATAAACACTTAAGTAAATATCATACCATTTGATTTTTGTCCCCAATCCCATTTAGCTTACTCTTGTATTGAATGCGGTCAAAAGTTCTCTCACAAAAAACTACATCAACAACATTTAGATGATACGGGCCACAAGGCTGATGGTGCTATTTGCGAAGTGTGCGGCGATGAATTTCCCTCGAAGAATGCTCTGTATCAACATATCGTTCGTGTTCATAAAAAGGATAATTTGTTTGAGTGCCACATATGTCAAAATCGTTTTACGCTAAAAGCCAATCTAGAACGTCATGTCCAGTTACATACTGAGATTAAAAGGACATATGTAAGTTTAAATTGAGAGAAAAATACTTTTTTCTTTATAATTTATATTAATATATATTTTGTTTGTTTTTTTTTCGCAGGTCTGTGATATTTGCAACTCTTCGTATTTTACATATCCAGCTTTAAAAGATCATTACAGCAACGCTCATACAGATTCCTCCGAATGCAAATGTCCATTGTGTGGCAAACGTTTTGGTTCAGTTAAATCGTTGCAACGTCATTTACCATCACATTCGGAAGAGCGACCACATAGTTGCTGTTACTGTGAACAGGTATGTAAAGATTACGAATTTGAAATTGAATGAAAACGAATGATTGTTTCCGTCCTACACAATTAAAACGGTCAGGATTGCAGTTCGTTTTCTAGTCTCGACTGAAATGATGATTTAGATGTAATGGCAAAAGAGTTTAGGCTCAGCTTTATTTTTCTTTTAAGCGTTTCTGTTGTAGAGTTCCTTTCATTTTGGACACTCGGACTCGAAGGTCTTTATTATTTGTTTAATTCTAATGAATATTTTCCTTTATCTTCTTTAAGACATTTAAATGGAAAACTCATCTTGTACGCCACAAACAAACTGTGCATGGTAACCAGCCGTCCCCCAAAAAGGTTAAACGGTTCGCAAAGGAAGGTGATGGTAAGTATTTTTTTAAATTAAAACTTACGTAGTTTGCTTTTGTTTTTATTTTTTTAACTTGAAATAATATTAACATTGATTTGGTTATGTTTTCTCTAACATATTTTCGTTTTATTTCTCTATCCACCAACTATATTCCACTATTCATAGAATTAGTTCCAATGTCTGATGTTCCCGGCCCGCCACCGGCTAAAGTTGCAAAGAAATCGAATGCTAGTAAACCAAAACAACAGGCACAACAACAAACGGTTCAACAACAGCAACAACAACAAAAAATGGGGGCTGTTGCCACACCACCACCTCTATCAACAACACCCGGAACTTCGTCATCCTCACAACAAGATCCCTTCAATGCTGCCATCATAAGTAACAATAGTTCACAATCGTCAACTGCTTCGACATCACAGCATTCATTGCAGTCTAGCGAATCTCAACCGAATTCCATGTACAGTCAAAACTTTAGTGCTGAAAAGCTGTTGGGTCAGCAGCAGCAACAGCAACCACATCCAACATCACAGGGACCACAAACGGCACTGGCACCACAGCAGCAACACCAACAACAGCAGCAAGCACAGCCCATGTTAACCCCACACAGTCAGCATCCGCATCCGCAACAACAGCAAAGACCAACACCACCTCCGCACCAGCAACAACAGCATCATCGTCACACACCTAATAATAGTCACACGCCGGACAATAACTTGCCCCGAATTAATAGTTTTGGTGGCGGTGGGCCCACACAACCGGAGACACAATTTCATTTCGATCAAAGTGCCGCTGGCGGCCCAACATCAACCATCACTAATCCTGGTGCTTATCCACAACATCAAATCATTAATCAATACCAACAGCAACATCATCAGCAACAAATGCAAACTACTCAACAGCCACCACCACCGCCGCAACAGCAGCAACAACAACAGCAGGCACATATGCGCAGTCATACACCCCAGAGTCCACATCCCCACAGTCATGTTCCGCAACAGCACCCGCACTTTTCGTCGCCACATCAGCAACATTTGCAGAGTGCCGCCCAACAGCAGCAGCAACATCAACAACAAATGCATCACCACCAACACATGATGCAACAACAATTACAGCATCAACAAGCCACCGCTCACCAGAGACACAATCAACAAAGATCGCCTCATCCCCATCAAACACCAGCACAACAGCTGCAACAGCAGCATCAGCAACCAATGCATTCGCCACAACATACACGTTTGCAATCGCCTCAGGCTCATACGCCGCAGCCACAGGCCACACCACAACAACAACAGCCAGGTGTTGCCGTCAATCATCAGCAACAACAGCAGCAGCAATACACCACAGATGCCTGGGGTAACATCAATTTTGTTGGACATGGAGCAAGTGGTGCTGGCGCACATCCCCAACAACAACAGCAACAACAACAGCAACAGACGAATGCAAGCAATCTATCAGCATCCGATAAAGATAATCCAAATAAGTTTTACATCGTCGATTCTTCCGAATTCATGGGTCTTCCAATTAACGTTTCTGGCAGCAGTACACCGGGTGCAGAAACAAATCAGTTGAGCAGCGCTCAACAGCCACAGTCACCAATGGTGGCAAACAAAACGCCTCAGCAGCAACACCAGGAACAGGATTTGATGAGTTTTCAGGTAAGTCTAAAAGTAAATTGTGTTACAGGGGGATGAGAGGAGGATTAAAATTTCTTTCCTTTTTTATTTTTGTAGAACATGTGGCCCCAGGCGAACCAGACACCCAACCAAATGGCCTACAGTGCCAATGGTGGCCAACAACAGACCACCGCCCAGCAACAACAGCAGGTTCAGCAACAACAAACTCAGCAGCCTCAGGCTCAACAGGCTCAACAACAAGCCGCTGCTAGTCAGCAGGCAGCTGGCGGTGTTGCCAATGTTGGTGGTACAACCGATCCCCATAGCTATAACAATATTGGCAGTATTTTGACGAATCTCATTGACAACAATCCCAATCCAATGGAATACAATTTCGAATTAATGCAGCAAGGATCGGTGCCTGTGGCAGGTGGTACAACAGCTACATCGGCAGCAGCTGCTGCGGCGGCGGCGCAAAGCCAACAGCAGCAACAAAGTGCTTTGGGTGTGCATCATCAACAACAGCAGCAGCAACATCAAGCGGCCAGTGCTGCATCAGCGTATGGCTTGCAGCCTACTGCCGGAGCTAGTGGCTTGATACGCCACGCTGGGGTATATGGAGCACCAGGCTCGCTCTATGATCCCCACCATCATGCAGCTGCCCATCATGCCTCCAGTTTGGCTGACATGGGTGAACAGCAAAAGAATAGCTTTCAACCATATCATCCACATGCGTTACAAACGCATGCTCACGCCTTGGGTGGGCATCCTTTGGCACCCACCGCCCATCATCCTCTAGCTGCTGCATCCCACCTATTGCCACCACCACCTCCGCATGCCAGCCATCCACATGTATACGATCGCGGTGGCTATTCAGTTCTGGGCGGTGATGATGGTAAGGCCGTACTGCCTCCAATAAGCGATTATATGCATCACATGCAACAGCAACATGTACAGCAGCCCGATTTATTGTACTATTCTGTGAAAAATGACTGACATTTAAAATAGGTCATGCCCACCGGTGGGGCTGGAGGCGGCGGCGGAAATTCGAGTAGTAGCGGTAGTAATAATACCAGTACGACAAGAACAGCAGCACAAGTCTATCATCAGGGACTTGCAGCGGCAGCAGCACACCACCACCACCATCATTATCAGCATGCACAAACACCTCCCCAGTATCCATATCACCACCATCATCACCATCACATGCAGCAACAGTATCACCACCATCAGCGTGCTAAAACAGCGGGAACGCATCCTGCCCATCATCATCCGGGCCATGCGGGAGCGGCCCATTCGCAAAGTGATTTGCTGCATTGGTGGCCACCACCTCCACCGGCAATGACACCATCACAACCATCAACAACAGCATCTGTAACAGCCAGCAATTCGGCAACTTCATCAAACCCATCCGCAGCAGCAGCTGTAGCGGCGGCGGCGACATCATCATCAACAAATACAAAAACTAAGAGAGGCGATGTTTCATATTAATCCGTAAGTTAATTACTTTTAAGTTGTTTTGTTTATATTATTTTTTAAACAATTAGTGTAGCTTGTAAATTTTTCTAAAAAAACACACACACACACTTACAACAAACATCCAAAACACATCCCAACACAGGAGAAACCCCATTCTATTTTGTTTTTGAACCAAAAGAACGGAAGCTTTAATTACTTTTTTAACTATGGTTTTTCTATTCAACTAAAACGACTGCATCTTGCCTTATTGCAAAAAGGTTTGAAGCCAAACCCAACAAAAAGCTTCCGTATTTTATATTGTTTGTTGTTAATTCAATTGGTGAATAAGGTTTGTAATCTCTAGGTGTAGATAATTCCAATCACGTGTGGAAATTTAGGTATAAAAATAACAACAACAAGAAATTTAATAACACAAAATAAGAAAAAACAAATACATTTTGTATGTAGTAAAATCACGATAAAAACTAAATTACAAATAGATTGAAGCAACAATAAGAAACAGACAAAAAAATTCTATAAATTACATTTCTGCTAAATAAAATGCGACAATTATTTTTAATAACATAAAACAGCATTGAGTGGTATATGTGGTAAAGATAATGTATGTTTAACAAGAAAATCCAAGAAATCCTCATCCAAATTACAGCCATTTTTGTTGGTTAATTTTGGAAGTAAATGTTGAAGGATTTCTTGTTATAGATACATTTTTAAATGTCTCCCCACAGTGTAATCAATAATACTTTACATATTTAAGAAGACGAAAAAATAAGGAGTAGCAAATAGGATACATTTTTTTAATAGATTGTGTCACACCAAAATAAGATAATACTTGCAAAGTGACCCGTTCTTAGATGTAGCTTCCCCATTGCAAATAGATTTTAAATCAATTTGTTTTCATAAATTCAATATACATCTTTAAAATGCGAAGTTATTACCATCCATCTTTATACGAGTCTTAACTATGGTACTATTCATTTAGAATGGAGTTTTGATATTTGTCTAAATAGTAATTGCAACCGTATTAATATAAGAGGGTTGCTATTCATATTTCGTATTCTGGAATTCTGGTAATAAGTTTGATATTTTGGATATCCACAGCTCCGACTGACTAGTTTTTTGGGGACTAAAGAAGCTGATCTAGCTGGAAAATATAAGTTTCAGGTAATTTTAAGAGAACCCAGGAATTGTCCTCTATTTAAAAAACTTTTACTTATCGAATTTGGCAGAATAAGGGAAGGAACATGATCGTTTTTACTCGTTTTACCAATTGAAAGGGGGCAGAGCAAAGAATACTTGATGTTTCGTATGTGCATATGACAGTTATCGTAAGAAACTTTATACATTCGGAGAACTACGTCCCAAGATGTAGTGAGAAAAGTGTAGAAGATTATATGGACAATAGTGATTAGACCTTTTCCATAGCCATTTATAGCTTTAGAATATTTGACATAAGCCGTAAGACTAGTAAAGGAAACTATGTAAGATAGTATGGATTTTACCCGAGAATATATGACAAGAACGTAGGTATAACATGGAAAGAAACCTCACGTCCATTCCATTCGAATGAATGTTTCCTCTTTTGGATGGACTAGGCACCCATGGCTACATATGTGCAATTCCTAATTTAATTTTGACTTGGATCCCGCTTTATTCGTTTTGAATATCCAGCTACTTATAGGAAACTCAGCTCGGATGGAAGTTACTTGTCTGCCCCATTACTATTGGTCTATTTCAGAAATTATAATATCAGCAGGACCAAAGTTTAGTAACGGATAATTATTGTCCGAATTCAAAACCCTTTTGGTAAAATTCCCAAAAGATTGGCCGAAAAATGTTGGAACATTTCCATTCTCGGGTTTTACTTGAAATATAAACATCAACCCTCTTAACTTTTCTATTTACCTTATATTTATAAAATATAATATTTTGATTTTCCTTCTATAGATTACCGCCAATAGGTATTCTATAGATAGAAAACCTTTTGATTTTCATATTATTTTACTAGGAAATCTTCTTGGAAGATAAATTTGTAAAATGAAGGGCTTTAAAAGCACATCTGTTGACGAAAAGTTGGAGATTTCCATATTCTTTGTTAGGAGTAGGATTTTCTTTTGGATATAGTCTAAAAGCAGACTTTCTATGTCAACTGTATCTATCGAAATTTCAGGGCATCTATCTGCAAGTCATTCATTGATATATGGCTTGCGAATAGATGTCTACCTACAAAAGATCTGTAAGTGGTACTTCACACGTAGAAGACTTGCAAAATAATATCTCACCACATATGACATTAACAATTGTAATATGGAATCTAGCTTATGTCCAAAAAACTCGCCTTTCAAAGATGTATTAATGGAGTTTATTGCTGAGATTTGAAGAAAACTCATAGGCTTAATTGAGAGAGGAGGTCATATTGGAAGTATTTTTTTATTTGGTAACACCGAGTTTCTTTTTTGTTCAAAAATTGTTTTGTATTTATAAATAAAAAATAAATGGAAATAATAAACATCTTCACGACTCGATTACAAGAATTTATGTTTAATTTATTTTTTGTTTCTTTTTTTCATTATAAATAGCCTAGCCCACCCAGCCTCATGCTTCTCATTTTTTAGATATATATCTCAAAACTTTTATGAAAAAATGAACAAATTTTTTACTAGTTTTTATTTAAGGCTTTTAAAATTTTTCTAATAACAGGAGAAGAGAATAACAACAACATAACATAACTATATGGAGGTCAAATGTCACCTCCTATTATCAAAATAAAAGCCAGTTAGTTTTGTTTTTATATAAACAAATATAATTATTTTAATAATGTAAATCATATACTTCAAGTAAAACAAAAAAAAAAAAACAATATACATAACTTAAGAATAATTTTTATCATAAACTATATAGAAAATACAAAAGCAGAAGAAAAAAAAAAACTAAAAATAAGCAATAAAAATTAGACTTTAGATATTATCCATATTGTAATATAATAAAAGAAAAGAGTGTATATTAATAAAAAAAATATGATTGATTTTAAATTTGTAATTTCTTAAATGAAAAAATCTCCTTATTTGTATTGTTCCCCTAATCAACCTTAACAAAAAATGCTATACTCTTCTCTTTTTTTCTCTAACATACTCTCTTTTTCCTCTTTTTCTCTTTAAAAAAGAACAAATTTTAGTTTATAAATACATAAAATATAATACTTAAATATAAGCAAAATAATTTGAAAGAAACTCATATATTTTTTAAATTAGTACAAGTGTTTATTATTTATATAAAAAATACAAAACAAATAATATATAAATATATTGCCTAATTTGTCTTAAAATAAACAACAGAGACAACAATACAATAAATCTCCCCTCAAATAAACCCACCCACCTCTTTCAAACTTTGCATGCATTATTTACTAATGTCTTAGTTTTTCTTCCACTGTGTCTCTATCGATCCCTCTATCTCTCTGTCTCTCTTTCTGTCTCACAACACCCATACTAATGTATACTCGTTAATCAATACCAATTAATTAAAACACAATTCTATAAGTATAAATTTTGTTTTAATTTTTACAAACTATTTTTGTTTACATATTTTTGTGTATTTTATATATAAATATATATATTTTGCTATATATTGTTTTTATTGTTTAAGCAATTTTTTATTTATAATAAAAAAGTGAGAGTTTTACATATTAAAAACAAAACAAAAAATAAAGTTATAAATATATCAAATTACAATAATAATATTAACTTACAACAAAAACAAACACATTATATAAGAAAACAAAACGTTTAGCGTTAAAATTCAATAAACAAAAAAAAAAATACATCTTAAAAAGTATGCTAGAAGGATAAAAAATAAATACACCACACACCCAGATTTTAATAAATAATAATAATAATACCTAAAAACGGAGAAATATACCTAAAATTGTAATTATAAAATTAAAGAAAAAAAAAACGTTTGTATATTAAATAAAAAAGAAAAATAATTTAATTACATGGAGTTTTTATTTGAATGGTAATGATGAAATTCAGAAACAGAGGGCTCGGGCCATTTACTTGTGGTACTATTGGAGTGCAATCTGAAAGAGTTTAAAAAAGGTTTTTTATCCTTAAAGACATGTACAAGTGGATCTGATCTTGCAATCAGTTAAACATACTGACTGGCCACTGCGGTATCAGGTATCTGACCCCAACATGAGATTATGTGGCGTTTCCACTGCACTTGATTCGCTCTCTAACTGGAAACAAAAGAGGCAATATTTTCAAAATGTTTGTATCGGCAGAAAAAATGCTTGACAAGTGTTGACAAGTCCAGCAGAATTTAAAAATAGAAAAATACAAAAATGTGTTCAAAATGTCAACATTTACACAAAAAGTTGAAAAAGTAAATGAAAACTATAAAATTAATGAAATAATAAATCTTTGGGAGAAAAACAATCATTTCTTCTATTCATATTAGTGAGATTTTAATGCATTTTAACGATCAATTCAAATGTTCTGCTTCTCAACAAACTTTGAAATCTTGTTTAACTTCATGAAGGAGAAGGCACTTACACTGAACGTGGGATTTTTTCTTATTCCTTTCGTCTGATCATCGCGCTGCAGTTTTGCCGTCGTTGTAAAGGCAATGTTCATAAAGTATTAGTGTCTCTGCGTTTCGTAGGGTATTTACTGTGGGAAACTGTGAGGTTTGTCAGAATATCCACAGAGTATGCATATGGTTTGAAAAGATTTGAGCATTGTGTTATTATAAATTTAACTATTAGGCTTTACCTCTCTTACCTTCGAACGTTTCTGCAATCATACCATAACAATCTGCTGCTTTATATGAGTAGAATGGAAATGCCGATCTAAAGGAGACCTGGAGAAATTTTATGCATAAAGCCCCTTTGGAAGTTTTTTATCTATTAAAGGCATTTCATATCTACAACATTTGCAAAAGTAGTCGCAGCATAGATGAACTACTAAAAGTCTCTACCTCTAATATAACTTTATATCAAATTTTTTTTGTGTAGCATGTCTTTAGTAGTTCTTCTTTCTACAGAAAACTTGTTAAAGCTCTTCTAACAAAAGCGGTCCAGCATAAGATTTATATGATTTCGCTAAAGGCGTTGTTAATATGTTTTTATGTACGAGCTTTTTATTAAACAATATTTTTTAAATTAAAAATATTTATTGTTTTAACAAAAAAGTTTTATTTAAAAAAGTAAAGGCATGTAGGTACAATTTATTCTGCAGCCAAATTAAATTACAAACATACAATATATATTGCAAATGATATAACAATAACATACAAGTTCCATCCCCGCAATTTATCTAAACACCACCCAATAAATTAACTATACGATTCTTATAACGTTTCGATATGTCCTGTTCAATCTTGCCCTGCAAATCTTTTGTTTGGGCTATTAATTTCTCCAGGACCGGTGTTAGTGCAACTCGTTGTTCTTTCAATTCCACAGAACGATCTTTTAACACCTGTTTGGTGGTACGTATTTTCTCTACAGCTTTAAGCATTTGCTTCAATTTTGATGCTAAGAGATCAGCATATTTGGGTGAGTGTTTCAATTGGAAAAGATGGCGAGTTTGTTCGCTGCTCATCTCTGTTAGGATAACATCAAGGTTGGTCAACATTTTACGCAAAGACTCTTCATCGTGGGTTGAAATGGACTCCATGAGAGAAAACATAACATTACTGCTGGCAGTAACCTGACGCAGTTCATAGCAGCGCATACGTAAGAAGGCCTCGAGTTCATATAACTCATCAATAAAACGTTCACGATAGGAAGGCGAATCAAGAAGTGTATAAGCTTGATCACCCTTGGCAACACCACCATCCATGCCAGCTCCTTCCACAACGATACCATACTCCTCGATGGGTATGTCGAAGTTGATTTCCACACCTTCAGTGGGTGCACTTTCAATACCCCAATCAATGTCACCAGTATCCCCAGCATCTCCGAAATCGATGCCGCCTTCACCACCAGTTTCCAAATTCAATTCACCAAAATCAATCATTTCGCCAGAAATGGTGGAGGAAGCCCCGTTATTATCATCGCCGAAATCTATTTCATTATCATTGCTTTTCATTTCATTTTCTGCACTCAAATTCAATTTAATTGGTGGCTCCTCGACAGAGAGAGGTGCTTCCTTGTGAATATATTGGTAAACTGTTGTATTGCCAAAATCAATTAAATGCCTGGTAATTGGTAAACACTGTTGTTTGGTTTGACCCGTAGTCGTGGCATACAGTTGCAAAGCCTCATCCAAGGTTCCTATTTGCTTTATACTTTTCGCATAAATTTCAGGCAGCCCAGAAAGGACCTGAGTAAACTCCTCACGTAGATTTTCACCTTTTACGCCAATCTGCTGTAGCAAAGCAGCATGTTCGGCCAGAAGTTGTGCTTCCGGTTTACCCAAATCATTGCTGCGTTTTAAGCATTCATCACTTTGTTGTTCGAATTTTGTCATTTGTTTCTTAACGTTGGGGACTTCATAGTTAACATTACGCACATAGAGTTGAGCACTTTCCGCCAAGTACACATTATCCTTTTCATAAAGGCGCACAATTTCTTGCCAATCTTTCATTCGCTGACTGCCATAGCTGCCAAAGAGACCCTTGGTATCCTTTTCCGTTTGCTTTAGAATCTCAATGATTTCCTTGCAATGGAAATAGTTGATGTCTGTAAAGAGTTCCATATTATACCAATTCCATAAATTGGAAAGCATTCATGTTTGTACTTACTTGTACCCTTTAGGAGCTCTATGAGTTTTTCATGGGATGGCATATCTTGCAAGGCTGCAGTTATTTTGGAACGAATGTCTTTCAAATTGGATTGTATGTTTTTGGGTACAATACGCCTGCTCACAAGCCAATCTTGTAGCTTAAGCGTATGTATATCAATGGGAATGTCAGCCTCCTGCATGGCGATATAGGTAGATTTGAATTATTTACTATTTATGGGAAATATTTGAAAAAAACTCACATTCATTTTTCCAGAGTAAATGTCCACGCAAACAAAATATTAACACCCTTCTTCTTACTTAACCAATAATGTACAAAAGAATGATAGCCCTCTTCTTCTTACACAAAATATGTGTATATAGGAATGATAACAATGTGAATGATATTAGTGGATGCCGGACATATAATTCACCTGGAATGTGTGTGAATGGATTTAGTAAAAAAACGGATTTTAGAATTTACTATTGTCAGTTCCATTGTATATACGTCAAATAAATCCTCATGAAGCAGATTAAACGTGCAAAGAGCTCTAATATATATATACGTCAAATAAATCCTCATGAAGCAGATTAAACGTGCAAAGAGCTCTAATACAATCATGCTGAAGTAGTATGTTTGGATCAGCATTTGTGCCGACTTAAAATACTGTATGAGAAATTATTTGTTGTTAGAAAAGTTTTTGAAGAGAATGCAATTAAATCCCAATAAGAATGTTAAAACTAACATGTGGCAACTCTTTCATACAATATCAGCTGTGGCATAAGTCGAACTATCGACAATGAATAGTGTTCGAGTTCGATTAATCGGACTTACCTATCCCTAATAGGATCCTATTGATATGGATTTAGACGAGGAGCAACTTCAATGGAAGCTGAGGACCAGAGGCAAATGTCGTAAGTTTAATATGTGAAGAATTTCCTGCTTATTGTACAGAATCACTTATATTTTCTTTCAGAAACATTCTTGTTACAATCAGATTATTTGGAACTCAAGCCAAGGGCACGTAGGGGCAAATGTTTAGGAGCTGCCGTAGAAGCTTTAGAAGAAGTAATGCGTGACAACGAATCGTCTACAACAGAGTACTCATATATCAGCAATGACATATGGTTCCATTTGGCTAACTATATTGCACCTGAAGATGTTCAAAGATTCGCCATGATTTGTACACAATCAGCTGAATGCTTAAAATCAAGACACTTTTGGATACAGTTGTATAGGAAGCATTGTCAAAAATCCAAAGATAGAAATAAGTGGGTATTACAATTACCATCCCATTTACAAATGCATCAGTTAACGCAGTGTGATACCAACATATTGAGGCAACAAGTTATTAAGGCGCTATTCTTCTGTCATCCTCCGTTTGTTGATCGTCTTAAAGACAATTACAAGTTGGAATCTTTGGTTGGAAAAACATATCAATCATCATGGCATCTGACCGTGCAATGCGTTTGGATAATGGTTTACAAATTTCGGGATAATGCTGCTGCCACAATTTCTAAACATAATGCAGCGTCTACAAAGAATTCATCATCAACGAATAATGAACAGGTTGATACAGTTGTCAATGATTGGGAATCTTTAGCCGAAAATGAAGAACACACTGAGAGGAATAATAATACAAAAACTACGAAGGCATTAAGTACTGCACCCTCTTCTGTAGATAATTGCAATGGCCTGAAACTTTTGATAATATGCTGTGATCGTTTCATACCATTTCCGTCTGATTTTCTTTGTACAAACTCATCTTCCACAATACGGTTAAAGGATACAAGGGAACTGCTGTCTACCGATATGAGATCGACAAATTTAGAATTGGATTTTGTATCTTTGACAGGAGACCAACGAATCACATGGAAATATCAGCACATACAAAAATATAAAGTACTGCCGTGGTGGCATCCAGATTTTAGTAAATTCAATAAATGTGAATTGTGACTGAACATCAAATATTTTTTTTTAAGTTTTGTTAAGAGTGTAATAGTTTGGAGTTTATTTATAAAATGCTAAAAAATATGTACCTTGTGTAAATAATAAAATACAGCTGAAATGAACGTAGTCTTAAAAAAATGATGAAGGATGCAGATTAATTGCAAAAACTTTCTTCAATTATAGCTGAGGCTTGGCGTAGCATGAGTGGGAAGTTAAATTCTTTTGTTTTCATGAAGTGGCTTCCACGGCCATGGTGTAGTCTCCATACCATAGCAAGGAATTAGTATGGAGTCTAATATCTTATGAGGGTATCAACTGACTGCAAAACTCCAACACTGATAGAAATTATGTGGGTATCAACATAGGGATTGACTTGTATTAGGCATCATTTAGTCCCAAGGTCTGTCTCCTAGTCAGCACAAAAGAAACTGTACCTAAAAAAAAATATCAGAAAAGTTAAAGAGTTTTAAACAAACAATAGTTGTTTTAGGAACTCACTAATTGGGTCATTAGGGTGTGGTATGATACCAAGAAAACTGACAAGATTTTTTAGGGAAACACCATTTCATGGTTACTTTGGGAGTGTCGGTCTAAATGGGCTTCAGATGACCTCTTTTAATCATTAAAAAATATGACCCTGATGCAAAAAACAGTTCAAGTCGATGTGTTGACCATCTATGGCCGAGTAGAACACAAGTCGTTCCAGAAAGTTGATCTGTCGTAGCAGTAGCAGTCGTGCTGACTTTTTGGTGCTGAGCTATTTCGTTAAGGCTTATTTCATTTTAGTTTCAGCCGTTCACTGCTATTGTGTCTTAGCTGAAGAATTTTTAGCAGACAAAACTGAAAATTTTCGCTGCAAATGCTAATTTGCCTTTAGCATTTTAAACCGTGGTGATGTACTATCACCTTGAAAACATCTTTGACTAGGAAGGTATGCATCGGTTATCTACATCGATATTTTAGAAGCTCTTTTCAATGTAACCAGGGTAATACCTTACAAAATCTCTACACGCTTTTCATGTTAACCAGACTAAGGACCTACTTAACTACAAGGATCAAAGTAAGAGAAGAAACATCGAAAGTGGGAATGTTTCCACCACTCTGCATGTGACAGTATAACACGCCTAAGGGGATGCAACTTAAAAAAACTAGAACCTTCCCCAAAAATTGTCCTCCTATTAATGATTTAAATATTGATTATTAAATTCTTATTACATTTTAAGTAAAACTACAAATACATTATTGATTTGTTTTGATATTTTATTCAATATTAAATCATTTTTATGGTATATAAATTTGCCAGCATTGTTATATATATATATATATATTTATTTTTTGTTATATTTAGAGTACAATGTCATCTGTTTTAAATTCTTATACATTTTACTAAATAATTTCAATAAAATTAAACAATTTCTTTATTATTAAAAGAGAGTTTATGTTTGTGTGTGTGTTTTGCTTTAAATATTTTTTCACTTAAATCCATTTTTTGTTTACTTTCTTTAATAAGGCGCATACCGAAATAAACAGTTTTCATGTTAGAAATTTCTTTTTAAGAAATTTTCAATCTAAAATCTTTGAAATAGACAAGAAAAATAGGGAAAAGATTAAAATATATTTGTTATTTATCATGGATTTTCATTGTAACAATACAAAACAAGTAGGCGATAAACTTGAAATCAAAAATAAACAATAAAAGAGAAATGTATTTACAAATCAAATAATAGTCGGGGAATTGTTACAACATTGATTTGGGTAACAATTTTAAGGAAAAAGTATACGAACAATAACTAGAACAAACAACACTAAAAGTTTTATTATCAATAGAAGAAAGCTATGAAGCCAATAAAAATGAGTAAAACCGAACATTAAGACCAGGTGGAGAATAAGTATTTAAAGGAACCATAAAGACACACGTTCGACCAATCTAAGCATGGGCATATAGTGTCAATTAACAGTTTTACTGTAGCTCAGATGTCTTTTTTTATAAATAATTCGCTTGCGGCAAGTATACATATAAGTTGCCTATAAGTGTTTTGGTTCGAACATCAGTTTGTGATGCTAGCTACTTTAACAGCTACTTTAACAGTAAGAACAGATTTATAACACCGTATACTCGGTCTAAAATAATAAGACATAAAATGTTTCTTGCTCATAAATTCCTTCTGTCTGCATTAAAAAAAGCATAAAAAATATATGTGTAAAATCAATTAAAAAGCAAATAATATAGGACGACTATGCATACATACAAACACACATATACATACATTAGGAAAACTATAATTTCAATTAGGAAACGCATAAACGAAACATAAAAAACAGTTATATAAAGCAAACATTTATTAATATCTAACCAGTGTCCAGCAACCCGTAGTTTCATCGCGTCTATAATAGCGAGGTCGATTGTCTCGGAAAACAGTAATAGCAGGAAATTGGTTTTCTTGTATGAATTTAATGGTTGCCCTCATCTGTTGGAAAGATAGAGAGAGAGAATTAGTAAATAATCCCCGAAATCTCTTGAAGGATTTTACTTACATGATGTGTAAAATGTGGTGGTTCCACATCAGGACTTGTGGATAAATGTTGCAATAGAAATTCATCGGTTTGTGCCAGCCACAAATCGGCACCCCTTAAGGGATCATAATTAAAGGGTCCGATGCGTAATAGACCCAAAGAGGCGTCATATATATCAAGAACCTGCAATTACAAGTAACGGCAGTAGGAACAATTAAAAATCGCATTGCTTGTTTGTGTGTTGTAAGCGTTTTCTTACCGTTTGTGCTCCCATAAAGTTACGAGCATCACGTAATTCCCTATCTGGTCCCCGTTCGGGAAATGTGGCTGGAAATATTTCCCCAGTTTTTATATTTACTCCCACGCCGTATATAATGGGGCAATTGATATCGCCACGTAAAATTGTATTTAATTCCCCAACGCAGGCTTGTGTTAAATCAATTTCAAGATGATGTTTGTGGAATGATTCTGGAAGTAGAAAAGAAAAACGAAACCAAATAGATAATTTATTAGTTAAAACAATGGAGATAGAGAGAGAGAGTGGGAGATTTTAACTTGCAAGAAATGTCCACAATAACAAGGCATTATACATTTGAAGAGTATTAAAATATAAAACTTTCTAGGAAAAGTAGGAGATCTGGGTGCATATCATATTTTCAAAGAGAAATAAATATCGGAGTGCCCATCATAATGAGATAACAGTGTTGCTGACCACTCTAGACTTGTGAAGAGGAAGAAGAGGTAAAAATCTAACAAGAGAGATAGGCTATTTGGTAGGTGGGAGATATAAACTATAACATTTATCCTGAATACAGGGTGAGATAAAAAAAACTGCAACAACGTCAAAGGCCATAATTTTTACATTTTTTTTAAATATTATTGAATGAAAGCAAAAAATTTCGGAAACAGCATCGAATTTTAGAATAAGTTTAGATTTGTTCGAATTGGCACGAATTATGGACTTCAAACGGCCGATGAAACCGTCACACGCTGCCCGAATGTTGCTCTGCGGTATTTTGGCCCATTCCCGGCGAAGCGCTTGCTTGAGGTGATCGACACTTTGGTATTTTTCAGTGCCAACCTTGCTTTCCAAAATACTCCAGTCACAATAGTCCATCGGATTGGAATCCGGAGATTTTGGTGGCCATTGTGCGCTGGAAATGAAGCGAGGAACCTTATTTTGTAACCATTCTTGGGTGGCGCGTGCTGAGTGCGATGGTGCTGAGCCCTGTTGGAATGTCCAATGTCTGCGGCCAAAATGTTTGCGTGCCCAAGGCTTTAATACACCCTCTAGAATATTTTCGCGATGATATTCGTCATTTATTCTGATGCCACGGTCGATTAATACGAGCGGAGAGCGACCATCGCCTGTTAATGCGGCCCACACCATCACCATGGCCGGCGCTTGAGTTCTGGTGGCCAACTGAAGCTGCACATTTTCAGCTGACCTCCTTGGCAAGTAAACACGATCATTTTGTTTGTTTACAAACTGCTGGACAACGAATGTTTTCCCATCGGAGAAAACCAAATTCGGCAGTTCACTACTTTCGGCAAAGCGAAGCAACTCTTTAGCTCATTTGAGTCTATTTTCTTTCTGCTGCGGTGTAAATTCTTGCACTTTTTGTAATTTCAATGGCTTTGTCCCGAGCTCATTTTTTAATATTTGTTGAATGCAATATTGCGATATGTTCAGCTCACGAGCCATTTTTTGGCCACTGCTAACCGGGTTTCGATCAAGTCGCTTCTTTACTTTTCGAACCATTTCTGCTGATGTTGCTGTTTTCTTCCGTCCACTTGAATTCCATCACGAATAACTTTTTTCTTGAAAATTCTCGCCAAAATGATTTTGTACGCTTGTAAACAATATAATGAGCTGTCACTGGAATAATTTTAACAGATGTCGGACGAGTGGCTTAGAAATGACAGCAGTCGAAGTTGGATGCAGTTTTTTCATCTAATCTAGACATTTTTTTTATTTTCTCTTAAATTTTTTTTTTGGAATCACGTGCTAACACTCGCTCGCACAATGAACCAAAGGTCTCCGAGTGTAGCAGTTGTCGACTGCCGTGTAGCTGAGCATCCTTAAACCATACCAACAAACCATAAGTAGGTTGAAAATCATGTGTTATAATTTACTTTTGTCATTACCAAGTAAGGAGTAACGAAAGTTGTGAGTTCAAGAATCGGCTTCGAAAAATATTGTTAGCTATTTTTCAGCTTTAATAGCCAAAGAATAACTAATTATTTCGGGCGAAATAATAGTAGTAACATAATAGAAGATTGATTTGTAAGTATTTACGACTGCCAACAATTAATTAGAGAACTCATTATTTGGTTATGAATACATTTCTGCTGTGATACATTAATTGCTTTGATACGAACATTTTATCAAATATATTTGCAAGAAGTAAGGTTTTGAAGATCAACAGTGTCAACAAAATTGACATTATTTAAATGTTCCAAGACCAAAGCAATAAAATTAGAATAAGGTTATTAACATATTTCCATGTAGCACACCTTTCTCAAAGAATAGAAAACTATTAAATAGGACTTTCCTGAAACAAAATGATTATTCGAAGACCAAATTTTATATTTTACAGAGCACTAAAAAGAGCATTTTTAAACCCACCACCATAGAAATGCGGACACTCCATAAATTATATATATTCATGATTAGCAAAAAATTCAAAGTCCATTTAACGATTTCCGTCTGTTTGCTCAAATCGAGATACAGCACCCTTTTAAAAAAAAAAAATAAAATAACTTTGCATATTTTTAGGCGAAACAAAGAAATCTACCTTTTTCGTTTTCTAAAGATGATAAATAACTACTGAGTATTTCATTGAATGTTATTTTAAAAAATCAAACCCCAAAATCTTTTTTATATCTTCAGCAGAGAATATTGCACCAGTAAGAAACTACATTATAGTAATCGTGAGCTTTGAGCAAATTTGGGACAGTAAGATTTGACAAGAATGACTAGACCTGCGGCATATTAAGTTCAACTATTTAAACACCTAAAAGATGGAATACAGAATGGATGTGTTTATATAATAGTCTGAAACTTCCATACCCAGCCAAGTGTAATGATAAGTTCATGCTGCGAGGCCACTTGCTTGTTGAATTGATGTGTTTCAAATTAAATAAATAATTGCCAAAGCTGAAATTACATAAAGCTTTAGGGGACTCCGAAATTTTAAATCGATCAACAACATAGGCGATAAGTGATGAAGTAATCTCACCTAGTGTTGGTGGTTGGTTGTAAAATTATAGAAGCTACCATTTTCAGTTGACGATTTTCGATCTTCTATTCCAAATAGTTCATCAGAGTACCCAAGATGGGTCAACATTTCCACAAAATGTCAAAAATGAAATAAATATAAATCTCAAATTAAACAAAGAATCCACGTATTCAGAATTAATTAAAAAATTACTATACCTACTTCTTTCTGTTAACTTTTCTTCAAGGGATCAACATATATGTCGAATAAAACAAAAGTAACATCAAAAGTATATCAAAAAAGTAACAAAAGTATATCAAAACATTTTGATATACAGGGTGAGATGAAGAAACCGCAACCAACTTCAGACTGCTGTAATTTCTAAGCCACTCGTCCGACAGTTGTTAAAATTATTCCAGTAACAGCTCATTATATTGTTTACAAGCGTAGAAAAACATTTTGGTGAGAATTTTAAAGAAAAAATGTTATCTGTGATAGAATTCAAGCGTGATAGTGTGATTTCTTTATATTTGGCTGGAAAACCACAAGTGGCTATCGTTAGAGCACTCCAGCATTTAAATGTAAATAAATATATTTTGTTTCGTACCATCGCTCGTTACCGTGATACTGGTAGCGTAGCCCGACGTTAATGAAGTGGACGGAAGAAAACAGCAACATCGGCAGAAATGGTTCAAAAAGTGAAGAAGCGACTTCATCGAAACCTGCGTCGCAGTGGCCGAAAAATGGCTCGTGAGCTGAACACATCGCAATATTCCATTCGGCAAATATTGAAAAACGAGTTCGGGACAAAGCCATTGAAATTCCAAAAATCGTTGTCCAGCAGTTTGTAAACAAACAAAATGATCGTGTTTACTTGCCAAAGAGGTCAGCTGGAAATGTGCACCTCAAGCGCCGGCCTTGGTGATGGTGTGGGCTGCCATAACAGCCGATGGTCGCTCTCCGCTTGTATTAATCGACCGTGGCATCAGAATAAATTCCGAATATTATAGAAAAAATATTCTGGAGGGTGTATTAAAGCCTTGGGCACACAAACATTTTGTCCGCAGACCTTGGATATTCCAACAGGACTCAGCACGCACCTCGCTTCATTTCCAGTGCACAATGGCCACCAAAATCTCCGAAAACCAAACCGTTGGACTATTGTGTCTGGAGTATTTTGGAAAGCAAGAATGGCACTAAAAAATACCAAAGTGTCGATCACCTCAAGCAAGAGCTTCGCCGAGACTGGGCCAAAATACCGCAGAGAAACATTCGGGCAGCGTGTGACGTTTTCATTGGCCACTGAAGGCCATAATTCGTGCCAAAGTTGACCAATTCGAACAAATCTTAACTTATTCTAAAATTTGAAGCTATATCCGACATTTTTTGCTTTCATTAAAAAAAAAAATTTAAAAAAAAAATTGTAAGTTATGGCGTTTGACTTTGTTGCAGGTTTTTTTATCTCATCCTGTATTGACAATATTTAAATAGTTACCTTAGTTTAAAAACTATTAAGGCACATTTAAATCCCTCTCATTAGCTTCCTCTTTAGTTGCATTCTACTGAAACTCATTTAAGGTCGATTACTGAGGCTCCTAAAAAGGTCGCTTATAGAGACAATTTAAATCAAATCTATTGAGATTCTTTTAAGTTCTTTTTTTTTTAAATCATCCATTAATACTTCTGTGATATCGTACATCCTTGAAGCCGTCTATTCAGATTCTCTCAAAGTTTTTTGTTGAGACTACTTTAAAGTTGTCTGTAGAGTTAATAAAGTCATCTATTTAGATTTTCTATTAAAAATCATTTTAAGCAGTAAGTCACGACTCCGTTAAAGGTCGCCATTAAATAGCTTTAAATAAGTCTATTGAATCTAATTTCTAATCGTATATTAAGATTTGATTTGATTTTCTTTTATTGGGACTCCTTACAGTCGTCTCCAGCACTTTCTTATTTTTGATTTTTTTCTAAAACAACATTTCAATATTAAAAATCTCAAAATGTTTCTTAGTTTTCTTTTAACATTTAAATATGTCTTTGCGAATTCAACTTACGCATTATACTGTAGAAAACCTCTTCGCCATAACTCTGTGGATCACGATAGCCCCCAATTAATTGCAATTCAATGCGACCCTCCGGATAACCTAAGGCCAACTCTTGGACACGGGCCACCATAGTGCAGACAGCTTCATCGACGCCAGTGCCGTCAAAGTGGGCCAATGCTACAGCACCAGAACCTAAAATAAGGATAACATGAAAATTAGGAATGTAAAACAGCAACAAGAATAACAATAATTGCGATATCACATACAACCGCAAACAAAAAAATGTTTTTAAAACTTCAATTAAAACAAGGATATTTTTATACTTTCTTAAGGACGAGCTTTCTTTTTATATTAAGCAAAAGTAAAATGAAGCCAATTTAAGGCCCAGGAAGATAAAGAAATAAGAAACATAAAAGAAATATTCCTTAAGAAAACATAATCCTTGCATCTCTTTGTGTGTGTGCGTGCGTGCATGTGTTCATCTGACTCACCTGAATGCCTTACCACCACAATAATACAGGTGGTAGCATCATCTGTACCAATTATATTGATATTTTTATCATGCGGTGCTGCAGCAGCCATTTCACGTTGACCTACGTACAGAAGACCCACCGGACCTACCGACTTTGTGGGTATCGATAACAATTGCTGGGCATAATCTCTGTAGACAGGATGTTGCATGAACAGACTGGTCGTGTCCATCGGACAATCGTCCTGCAGGACACCATTCAGTACCAAAACCATTTTGTTAACAAGGCTATACCAAAGGATAACGACGTCTTCTTGTTGATATTTTTATTTGTGGCTGTCCTTTATTTTCTTTTGGTTTTCTTAAGTTACAACAAAGCAGGGCGTTAATATTGTAAGTTTATCTACAAGAAGGAAATTAAATTTAATTGAAATTTTATTAAGATTATTAAAAAAATATATTTTCATAAGATAAATTAGGGTAATGTTTTCTGTAATATATGGTCGTAATGGAGTTGAGGCACTAAAATTGTTTCTATGGAATAAAGTCGAACTCAGAGTTTAAAGTTATTTCTATAGAAAAGAGTTCGACTAAGTGGAAAGATTATTGTGGATTTTTATAAAGGAAGCTTGGATATGAGAGAATTAGAATAGTTTTTCTTTTTAAATTATATTTTTGTGAGGAAAATAATAGTTTACTATGCTACATTTTTCATAGACTGTGAGAGGCCTTAATTACATTTTAATAAAAATATATGACCCGATGAGTTAGGATCAGCCTGCATTCGGTTCTTTATTTTGTATTAAAATATTATCTTCCTCTTACAAAATCTTCATTTACAGCCATCTAGACTATTTTGAAGTCGCCTAAACTGCTAGCATCTCCACTAGAATGCCATTTTTAAATTTTAAATAAAATACTGATATTCAAGAGCAGTTATGTATAGCAGTTTTTGGAACCGTCCATGGCCCATCGATTGAACTGGTGGAAGGTGCGTTGTCCCCAGTTACGGCAAATTCATCTATTAATCTCTTTACATTTAACTCCCTTAAAATCGGATGTTAATTTCGCGTTTTATGAGCATCATGGATATTCAAAATTTTGGCCCTTTGTGGGGAAGGTACCTGAAGGAGTGGACCGATATATTCCATCTACGCAGCAGATCTTGTGTTAGTAGAAATAATGGGATGCGTGAAATATGAAGAGAACCGGATGCATATTTCGGATTTTATGATCGTTTTGGTTATTCAAAACTTTGACACTTGGTGGGGGAGGTACCAGAAGAAATGGTACGATCTCTACCATCTATATAACAGGTAAACTTGTATTGATAGAAATATTGAGATGTGCCTAGTCTGAATGGGATCGGATGTTAATTTCGCGTTTTATGAGCTTCATGGATATTGAAAATTTTAATCCTTTTGTGGGGGAGGTACCACAAGTAATGGACCGATATATTTCACCTTCGCACCATACCTTGGATCAATAAAAATATTGTGATGTGAGTAATTTGAAGACAATCGGACTCTTACATAAGATTTTATAAGAGTTATAATTATTCAATTTTTCGCACCTGACCTAGCACTGATGCAAATATTAGGATTTGGAAATTAGGAGCAAAATAAGATTATTCTTTCTCTTTTTTTGCAGCAAAATATTTTTTTGAAATTCTCGATCTTTTATGGGGGATCTACCAGAAGTAGTGAACCTATATTGACCATCTCCGAACTCGATCTAAGTTTGATCATAGTATTACGATGTACCAAGTTTGGACCAAATCGTATACTCCCTTTGAGAGTTGTCGGGCACACCAGCCAGACGGACGGACGGACATCGCTTGGTCGACTCCAAATGTCGTGAAACGAATTTGGTCTAAAGAGACCAATCGTCTAAAACCGTTATTTTGATGAGGCACATTTAGGCCGTATATCCTCTCTAGCCATATGGCTGAAGGTATAAATAAAATACAAGTATCATATTGAGCGATGAAAGTATCTCATATCGTTTAAACTTTGCAGATCATAATATTTATTCAACCTAAATGGGTAATGTTAGTCTACTTATTTTGCACCTACCCCACAAAAGGTCAAGATTTGGAATAATAATGGCTCCTTTAAGGGGAATTAACGTCCATAACATTTTTCACATCTCAATATTTGTATTTATGGTGTAGCTAGTGTGAATATGGAATATGTGGTACATCCACCAAAAAAATGCAAATTTTCGAAACCAGACACATACAGGGTGAGTTTGGCCGAAAGTGGTGAACTGCCGAATTTGGTTTCCTCCGATGAGAAAACATTCGTTGTCCAGCATTTTGTAAACAAACAAAATGATCGTGTTTACTTGCCAAAGAGGTCAGCTGAAAATGTGCACCTTCGGTTGGCCACCAGAACTCAAGCGTTGGCCATGGCGATGGTCTGGGCCGTCGACGGTCGCTCTCCGCTCGTATTAATTGACCATGGCTTCAGAATAAATGCCGAATATTCTCGCGAAAATATTCTGGAGATGTATTAAAGCCTTGGGCATGCAAACATTATGCTCCCAGACCTTGGACATTCCAACAGGACTCAGCACGCGCCACCCAAGAATGGTTTCAACATGAGGTTTATCGCTTCATTTCCAGCGCACAATGGCCACCAAAATCCACCGCCACCAAGGTTGGTACTGAAAAATACCAAAGTGTCGATTACCTCATGCAAGCGCTTCGCTTGGGAGAAAATACCGCAGAGCAACATTCGGACAACGTGTGACGGTTTCAGTGGCCGTTTGAAGGTCATAATTCGTGCCAAAGATGACCAATTCGAAACTTATAAACTTATTCTAAAATTTGATGCTAATTCCGACAATATTTTCTTTCATTCAATAAAATTAAAAAAAAAAATAATGTAAAAAGATGGCGTTTGACTTTGTTGCAGTTTTTTTATCTCACCCTGTAGTCGACGTAGTCCAAACCTGGCACGTCGCAATATTTATTTAATATTCATATTTATTTAGGTCCGATACAAAATGACAACGTTGGTCCATTCCTTAGAAACTTACTTCATAGAGGGTCAACAATAATTATAACAGAAATCGAACTATATTTAAATAATCGAAATTTGGCTGAGGGTAAACATCTGTAGGCAAAACCGACTGATACTTTTTTACTTGTTAGTGTTCTATTTTTGTCAAATTTCAAAAGGGACAACTAACAAAAATGAATAGTTTTCCTTCGACCCACCCTAATACCTCTTTTGTAAAATATATTATGCTTATTATATGTACATAGTTATGTTTTCCTCAATGTTGTAGGTGTTCATGTATTGTAAAGCAATAAAAAACATTATATGACAAATTTTTAATATGAAGACATTACAAATTTACGATGTGGCCAGTAAGCAGAATGTAAGCAGGATCATTGTACCACCATGTATGGATACACACACACATGTGTATGTATGAATATGACCAAGAAAGGATACACGGGACATATGTTCGTACATATCTCATCTCAAGAGCATACGTACAACACACAATCATTCCAATCGCATGCATATGCTTATGGCTTTATCGCTTTGGGGACAGCATTGTCCATTGCCAAAGAACATACAATGCAGAAGTTTGCTGTCTTTGTTCATTGTGGACACAATGGTTGCGTTGGAGGACACAGACATTCAGCCGAATTGCCAGCCAGCCGACCAAATGAAGGCCACCTTTAAGTAATTCTCATCATTCGTGGCAAAAAGTTATGACATTGGAGGAGTGAGTGCTGAAGTACACGGATCCTCCACAACATTGAGGTGGCAGCGTTTTTCCCGCAGCCAACAACACAACACATCTGAGCAGACCAAATCAGCAAGCGAGCGAGCGAGCATCCAACCAAATTTATGGTACAACAATCAAATGTCGTTGCAAAAATGATTATCAAACATTTAAATCTATATGTGATTTGTTGTTGTTATTTTAGTGTGTGTGTTTCAGTTGTTGTTGGTAGTGTTGTATCTTTTTCTCAACATATGAACAACTCTTAATAAATTTTTCATTCAATTTGATTGTTGTTGCTGTTCAACGTTTGCTTTGTTTTGTTGGCCACCAGGAGAAGAAAGAAAAACAAAAAACCGGGCAAAAAGCTTCCCTCCAAAAAGTTCTCGTTGATGATGTGTTGGCGTTAACGGCTAAGCCCAGCAAAAAACCACAGAGAGAAAAAAATCTGGGTAATAAGTTAGAAAGACTGACCCCAGTTATTGTCATTATAATTTTTGTTGTTGTTGTTATGGTTGGTTGTTGTATTTTTATAATAAATTGAATTTACTTTTTGGCCAACACACACACGCTGTGACTGGCTGGCTAGCTGGTTGGATGTTCGGTAAAAGTGATTAAGATAAGGATTTAAACTACTTTACCAACAACCGACCAATTGCTCTGGAGAACTTCATAATTGAATGGGTTGATGTTGGACAAATTTTTATTTGTTGATTTTTATCGCAAATTTTGTTGTTATCAATTTATTATGAGTTTGGTGCTGTTGTTGGGATTTGTGTGTTTGATTAATATCTTGTAATAATGGAGCAAGGATTTATTGGGGTTTATGGGTACTTAAACAAAGTTTAAGGAAGGGGGCCTCTTTCAAATAGGATAGGAATATAACTTGGAGCCTGTTGGAAAGGTAGCCACTCACTCCATTTAGGAAAACCTCTACTATTACACAATAGATCCTTGATTCATTGTAGCTGAGTTCAACATACTAGGGATAAGTAAGTATGTCGAATTTCGTTAAACATCGTTAGAAAAAAGTCTAAAATATGAAATTGAATTTCGCCAGAGTAAAAATCGCAAAGTCGAGTTTCGCAATAAATTTTTGTTTTTGGACAAAACAAAGGAGAAAGTTGCAAGATCGGTCCGAAAAAAAATTCTATAAAAGTGTAAGGGTTTCGTTGAAGATAAACGTTGCCAAGATCAATGCCACCCAACTGCGACCATTGAAAATCAATAATCATCTGTCGAAAAAGAATGTTTAGACGGCACCAATCGTCGCACGGTGAGGATGTAGAGGCTTCTCAACAATATCTCTTGGATTCTTCAGGATGGGACAATTTTATTTTTTGCCATAGCCGCCGAGTTGGAAATGAACCTCATCAGTCAAGATGATTGTTCGACGAAATTCCGAATCAGTTTCTTACATTCCGAGGACACAATCAGTAAAGACACGACGTGAAGATCGGTCAGTGCATTATGACGACTCAAAAATACTTTGCTTTTGTGATCAGTGACTTCAGTGACCATTTTTATCCTCTCAGCTACATATATGGCTACATTGGGTATATATCATTTGATACGGCCAAAACATGCCTTATCGAAATAACGGTTTTGGAGATTGGGCAAATTCGTTTCAGGACATTTTGAGTCGATCTAGGAGTGTCC